CGACCTCCCCCCGCCTTGGCTCTTACGCCACCCCCTACCAGACACTTGCTCCTGAGGGCGGAGCTCCTGGCTCTGCAGGGTACAGGGGAGGGGGCGATGGCGCAGGTCCAGGAGGGCGGGGGCCTACACCCCAGAGCAGTGAGCGCAGGGCCACAGCGATCTGAGCCACGACTTGCTCTGGCCACAGCCAGGGCCCCAGATACCCAATTTCTGGGCTCAAGGGCTGGGCCCACCCCATCCGACCTCATGATGTAATCCACGAGGTAGCTGGGGGACGGAGTTTCTTCCTCCCTTATGGGACGTCGTAATCGATGACCTCGCAAATTCAGTGAAATGCACAGGCCTCTGGGAACCCGTGGTGGATGAGTCGGCTGTCCCTGCAGCCTCTGGACTGAGCTGCCTGTGCTGACCAGGGAGGCCAACGACGGGCGTGCTGACCTGGGTCCCTGGGCAAGGGAGGCTGTGGACCGTAAGGGGCCACACGTGAGCTGCATAGACCAGAGCTGGCGTGGTGAGTGAGATGGAGGGGTGTGGAGTGTGGGAAGCAGGGCTCAAGACTGCAGCTGCAGTGAGACCAGCCGCCCTGGGCTCAGCCCTGGTAAGGATGGCCACCCAGAGTGCAGCTTCCCTTGGGGCTGGCGTGGAGGACACGGCCTTAGGGGACCACACAGAAAGGACCAAGGCAGAGACAGCAGAACGGCGGGGCATAGGGAGCCTGGGGCCCCCTTCTGCAAGCACCAGGCTGACCAGGACTTTTCCAAGAAAGGCATGGGGCGCCACAGGCCCATGCATCACCTCCTTCCCGGTAGACACCAGGATTCCAGCTGCTGGAGCGGGGGAGCTGCTGAGCAGGTGCGAGAACGACCAGCTGGGTCACTGCCCACGTCCTGAGAACCGCCCGGGAAGGCGTCGAGGCCGCACGGGAAGACCGCGCGTCTTGACGGGACGGGGTGTGGGTGGGGTAAGGGCCAGCGTGTGCCGGCGGAGCAGCAGTGAGAGCCCATGAGAGGCAAAGGAGTTAATGAGCACGTGGGGCGAGGGGACAGGAAGTGGAGACGTCACTGGAGCTAGGGCAGCGCACACGGGGAGGGCCACGGGGGCAGGGGGCCTCAGCTGTGAGAAGGGCCCCCAAGTAGGTGGGCAGGTGAGGGGCTGCATGCAGAGATCTACTGACGTCCACTGAGGGCAGGCACAGCTGTGTGTTAGATGCACAGGTCAGGAGGGGCAGCCCCAGACTCGGGGACAGGCGGATCGGGATGAGGAGGCACCGGACGGGAACCCAGGTCTCCGGCCTGGGCAGCTGGACACGCGTAGGCCGCGGCTGAGATGCGCGTGCAGAGGATGGGCTGGGCAGGCGGGACAGGGAGCTTTCACAGCATGGGCGTGTGTGCGGGGGCAGCCTGTCCGGAGCACTTCAAGGCGGCGCTGTCTCTGGTGCCCTGTGTTACGTCTAACACAGATGGCCATGACTGTCTTGAGTGTCTGTAAAGCTGGGGAGCTGGCGCATTGCAGTAAAAACCCGAGTGCTGGCTTCTTTCCCTGAGGTGGGAAGTAAGCAGGTCACTGCAGGTCCTCTCCAGCTCTGGTCCACAGTGCTCCTCCCCTCGGCTCCGAGCGCACAGCCCTGGGCATTCCCGACTTCAGAATGCTCCCGGTGACGCGTGCTATCTGCATCCATCACTTGAACTTGTATTTCTGGGTGTGACCCACTCCCGTGCATTTCTTGGTAAATTGTCTTTTTCGTGCCTGGTCCTCTCTCAAACCCCAGGGCAGTAGATGAAGTGTTCCCAGTGGACACCTCCCGGAGACCAGCCCCTGCCCCTGCAGGGCCACCATCCTCTGTCCAGACTCCAGGTCCACAAGCCTTGCTGGTTCGTGTTCTCTCTCGTGGCTGCAAAGTGATTGTGACACCCCGGAAATGGCATCCACCTCCCAGGAGCCACCCCAGCAGCTCCCCAATGTCCTTCCAGCAGCTGCAAAACCAGTGACTGACTGAGTCGGTGTCCTCTGATCCAGAGAGGGTGACGGGGCATGCCTGAGGAGGACTCACAGGACACCACCCCAAAGGAAGGCCAGGAAACGGCATTCTGGAGCTGAGGCTCCCCTCCAGCCATCACAGGACACGCACGGCTGCGCTCAGGAGCTCCAGCGACTTCTCCCGCATCCTTCCGGGAGCTGGGTTCTGTGAAGCAGCCAGGGGCCCAGGGTGACACTTCCTGATGCTCCAGGGTTTCTCAATGACAAATGGCTCAGCGTGGAGGGACAGCAGGCTGGAGACCTCATGCTCCAGACTCTCACGGAACCGCCAAAGTGCCACTCAAACCAGCAGCAGCCCATATGCCTCCCGTTCTCACAGCGACGGCCAGGCTGCACCTGGAGTCCAAGTCCCTGGGACGGGGACAGTGTCGCCTGCTTCTGGCCCGAGCACCCCTCCCCCACCTGCTGGGATGTCTCCTTCCTCGTGATCGAGGAGTCTGAACGTCTCAGCTGTTAATGCTCTGGCCGGACACGGGCTGCAAACACCCACCCCTCACTCCCCTGCTTTCCAGTTTTGTGTTGCCTCAAGACTGTTTCAACTGCCTTGTAACCAGATGGCCCCTTCCCTGTACACGCTGGCTGCCTGCAGACCTGCCTCGTCTGGTTCCGTCCTGACCAGGGAGCACGGCTCCTCTAACATTCGGTGAGGGTGGGTGCCCACGCCAGCCGTGCCCGGGGACCTGAACGCGGGGGCATGAGGGCAACCCCAAGGCTCACAGGCTCACCAGTCCTCTGCCACTCCCAGTATCCTCAGGTCTCCTGGGGCAGGGGCTGTTTTGGGGTTTCCATCCCTCCTGCCGACGGCCACCCCACTACTAGCCACAAAGCCTGCTTCTGCATTTTTTTCTGGATTTTTATTTCATTTCTTACCTGGCCTCCCTCCTGGGACTGGCTCTTTGCTCCGACGAGGCCCCCACTGGCCCCTTCAAGATGCTCTCCCCGTAGGCCTGCAGTCCTGCCCACAGCAGCCCCTGGGGACCGAGCCGGCTCCCGGGGCAGCGCCCCTCCCACCCTGGCCTGGCCTCTCGACAAACCACCCAGGCCTTCCTCTTCCGAGGCTGCCACCCCCTCTGTGGGTGCCTAATTTTCTCCAAGGAGCTGCCTGAGAGGACGGCTGAGGAGCAAGGCCCCCGGCGGGCCAGCACATGAGAAGCCGCAGTCCCGGGCTGCAGACCCTCTTCCTGCGAGCTTCAGTGCGCCCAGTGTGGGCCTGGTCTGAGCTCAGCCCCCACCCCCAGCCTTGGTGAAACCAGAACTCCAAAGGCAGGGCATCTGTGGGCCCCGACGCTCCTCCCAGTTTGTGGTGGGAGAGCTGCAGCCCCTACTCGGCTCCGGAAGATTTCCTCACGCTGTGGTGCTCACACCACTCTCTCTCCTGTGACACTTGGATAACGTCCAACATCCAACCAGCTGTGAGGAGGCAGGAACCCCGACCAAACGCGACAGGGGAACCACGGTGATTCTCCTCCCAGGCCAGGGCCTGCAGACAGGAGGTGCAGGGAGGGCAGCTCTGCACCCGAAGCCCGCCCACCTCCGCCGGCTGGACTGAGTCACGTGGCCACACCCGGCTGCACAGCATGGGGAGGGGCTGCTCCTCCCGGGCGGCTTTTCCATGGGGCCGGGCTGCACCACCCCACCGGGCTTGGCCCCCCGGGGGGTCTGCCCCCTCTCCCTCGTCCTCGTCCCCTCCATCTTTCTTCTGGCCTTCCATGGTCTGTTCTCCAAGCTTCCTGTGAAAACCTCCATTTTCCGCTCACACTGTAACTTCCAGGAGCTACTCCTGCTCTCCTGGGTTCCTCTCCTGCCCAGTGGGCCACCAGACACCTTCACACCTAAGGACACCAACGTGAGGCTTCCAAACTCTCTTCTAACCAAAGCGGAACATTCTGCCCAGCAATGCTTCTCCTGCACATTTACCTGTTCTCTGACAGGCGTGGCCTTGGCTGTGGGGGGTGAGGGGGCCAAGGATGCTGTCCGTCCACTGGCGAGGCAGGGCTGTCCCTGACCCTCCTGAAGGTGTCTGTTAACTTGCTTCTTTGTGTTTTATATTAACTTGTTCCAGTAGTTTGGGTGCATCACAATTTTGGAATAAAACGTTTTGTCTCAGTTTCCAAATTTACTTGCAAAGCTTGTTTTAATATTGCCTATGATTTTTGTAAATTTCTATCCACAAGTTTCTTTCATTCTGTACATTGGTTTTTCAAACAGCTAATTTTAGTTTGAAAGAGTTTAAAACTCAGGAGATGTCGCCAACACGGTAAGAGGGCTCCCGGGCTCACGAGCCCAGACGTATGCATCTGTGCACAGCTCCATGTGACTTCGCCGCTACCCCAGGACACAGAGCAGGACTGCCCGTCTCCACAAAGCAGCACCCGAACCTGGCACCTCCACCTCCACCACTGCCCTCCTGTCCGGGAGGGGACAGCTGACTCCTGGGGCCCCCTGCGCCTTCTCCTTGCCCAGTGGGGCTCCCAGGTAGGCCTGTGCCTGAGCTGAAGGCCCTCTGGTCCCCTCTGGTTCCAGCCACGAGGAGCAGAGCGGCTGCGACGTCACACGCGGCTTTCTGTGTGGACGTGTGGTGTGCTTCTCTGGGAGCAGCAGCAGCAGCGTGACTGAGGGCTCTGTGCTGTGCACGGCCGCTGGCCGCCGTTCCCAGAGGGGCTGCCCGGCCCGACCTCAGCCGCCGCCGCACTTTTCTCCTAGGGGGTCGCTGTCCTCTGCCACCTCCGGATGATCGTCAGCCTTTATCTCGGCAGGTTTTGCTTCTGGCCACCCCTCCCCTCACTCTGAGACTGCCCTTGGAGCCCAGCTCCCCATGCAGGCCTGCACCCTGCGGCCCTGTGCCCCTTTCCCGCCCCCTGATTCCCGACTGGCTGCCGAGTCTGCCCAGTGAATCCTCACTCTCAGCTTTGCTCCAGATCATCTCAGAATCCTCCTAGTCCTGTCCGTTGCTTTGAACACTCGCAGGTCCTCGTGCTGCTCTCCAGCTCGGTCTTTGTGCCCCGGTTGTGACAGCAGCCGTCCCAGCAGCTCCCGGGGGTCCCTCCTCGCACCTTTATTTCTGCTGGCTTTCACTCAAAGTCCTCACCTCTGCTACTGCCTGGTCACCTCAGACTGTGTGATGGACACTGTGCTACAAAACCATTTAGAGAGACAATCTGAGGCCCAGCGCAGTGGTCTCTTCCCATCAAGAGAACGCATGCCCATGTTCCACCAGCCACCTGGGGCCGGCGGTGCAGGTCGCCGACTATCCACGCTCAGGGCCTGAGGTGCGCGTCCCGGGCTGGACGGCGGACACGAGGGAGCACTTGGTTCCAGCTCATCCTCCCTCCAGGGCCCCAGCAGAGAGCCAGAGGGAGGTCCAGCAGGCTCCATCCTCGGCTGGCCCGGAAGGCTGCCAGAGCCGCCGCTTTCAGCACAGCCCACACGCCAGGCCGGCTGCTGAGGCCTGTCCATCCCCGCGGAGTCTGGGACTCTCCTGACCCTGCTGGCTCTCCGAAGCTCCTAGGCTGTCTCAGGAGAAACGTGGTTCTCAAGGACTCAGTTGGCTGCGACCACAAACAGAAACCAGGTTAATGGACTTCCCACCACGGGGAACCAGCTGATCTGAGAACATGAACCATGAAAGCTGCCTGGAAGCTGCCACCACGTGGTGCAGGCCCCAGGTGATGGGGACAGGGGACGCCAGCGTCCACCTCCAGTACCGACCCCAGGTTCTGCTTCTGGGAAAAGGCTGCTGTGATGGAGACACGGTCCCCCAGCTGCACCAACAGGCCGCTCCCCATTACCTTCTCGTGGATCTCCTGCGTGGACTGCGCGTCACAGAAGGCCACCGTGGCCACGTCCTTCAGGATGGGCATCTCCACCGTGCAGTCCCGGCCGTCCAGCAGCGCCACCAGGGGCCGGGGGTGCAGGGGCCCGTTCATGATCGGGGGTCGGACGCCTGAAACGACAGGGCCAGACACTCAGCCTCCCGGTGCGGCGCAGCCAGGCAGCCACCCCAAGCACCTGTGATTTCCATGTGTCCAGACACAGGATCTTTCTCAACAGTGAGTTGAAAATCAAGGAGAAAACAAATTACGCTTTGCTTCAGCTCCCAGCCGCCCGGGCAGCCCTGCCACCCGCCTGATGCCAGGAGAGGCAGGCAGATCGGAAGTAATGGGCTTTGGGGACGAGCCCATGGTTTCTCCTCTGCCTGAGGCCACAGCGTGCTGCCCAGAAACCCCACAGGGACCCCCGCCCCATCCAGCGCTGCTCCTGTATACAGGTTTGAGGGACAAGAAACAGTGCAGAGCTAGACAGGGGTTAAAACTCCAGAAAATGGCCAGAACCACTCACGTTCCCAAAAGACAAGGTTGAGGATCATTAAACACTTGTCCTTCCACACGGGAGGCAGTGGCACCTCACGTGGATCCAGGGTGGAGACATGAGGGCCCACAGGAGACACACACTGGCCCTGCCAAAGCTTGGCCACGGACGGCCCACGCAGCCCCGGGCACGCTGCGGCCAGCATGGGGACGGCACCAGGTGTGCAGGACGAGAACGCAGGCATGGTGACTGCATGGCTTCCCAGGGCCCACAGCCACCTGCCAGCAGCCACAGCTCCCGAGGGCACGCCGCTCACACCCCACCCTCAGACGGCGACGGTCTGCAGACCAGAACCCCAGGAGCGGTGTGTCCAGGCCAACCCCTCAACACGCAGTCAGCAGAGAGCAAAGCGCCACAGACGTGCAGAGAACAGCGACTTTCCACGTGAAACTGCTGCCTGGCCTAGCGTGTGACACCCCCCCCCGCCCAACATCCCTCAGCTTTTATTTTCATAAACATCCAACCACAACCACGGTGCATGAACCAAGCCTCCAGGGTCCACGGCGGCTTCCTGGCCATCACGTGGCTGCGCAGCCTTGTGTGGAACCGCCGGGGAGAGGACGGCGGGGCACGGGCGGGCCCGGCAGTGAGCACGGTGAACTCTCGATGGAGGGCACTGTGCTCGGCGGGGCTGCCCCGGACACCAGGCCTCCCAACCACGTAGCTGGTGCCGGACCAGGTCTTGGGGCCCAGCAGCAACGCTCAGAGCCACGGCGAGTCCGCAGAACCTCTGGCCGCGGCCTGGCCGAGCTCTCACAGCCTTGAGACTCTTCTCGACGGATACGAACTACGTGGCACACGTGAGCCCAACCCCTGGGCTCTTTCCCAGAAACTCAGCCGCGCTCCCTCTGGGAGGGCCCTGTCCTAACCCACCGCACCGGGGGACGGGGCACCGGCCTCGGGCAGCTGCGCGCTCCAGCAGCCCCAACCAACCTGACATCTCTTAATATGGGCTCAGCTTCCACCACCATGAATTCGCCTTTCAACGCGCTCTATCTTCAGAATCCCAGGGCAGAACCGCGTCCTGTCACTGCGTCCTCATCCCACGGCTTTAATCGTCTTGAACCAAAGCTCCTAGGCTCCTGTCCACGGCGGCCACCGAAGCCCGCGCCGGGTCAAAGTCTGACTAAAAATTAAACACAAGAGACACGTTAAACACCACTCAGGGGTGACAGGAATGCACAAGCTCCAGGCGGTCCGTGGAGGCAGAGCTGTCCCTGCGTCCTCGACCCCACGCCTGCAGCTGCCAGGCTGGGACCTACCTGGAATCAGGCCTGGCCAGTGTGCCCAGGACGCCCACCCTGACGCCTCTAGGATGCACACACTGGGAGGCAGGGGCCCTGGGGCGCAGAGAGGAGGGCACAGGGAGTGGGTCTGCAGCCAGTTCTGGAAGCTTCCATCTCGTGTGGCCAACCTTTCCTGGGCCCTTTTGGCAGGGCAGGGGCAGGGAGCCCCGACAAGGCCGCCAGGCAAGAGGCCCTGGGACGCAGACCCCGATGCGGAGGCCACTTTCCCACGTCCCCCACGGAGGCCCCTAGGCGGGGGCTTCCCCAGGGCCCACGCGAGATTCGGGCACAGTCCTCCTGGAAGTGCTGCACGGCCCAGCCCGAGGGGCAGCGCACGCGGGTCCCAGGCCTTTCAGGGGCAGGGGTCCAGGAGGTTTACGGGGCTGGGAGCGAGCACAGACTGACCAGTCCCCGGGAGCACGCCAACCTTTCCTGGGTACCTGGCGAACACTTGGCTGAGACCGCCACACGGGGGCTGAACCTGACACGCCAGGGTAGGCCGTACTGACCGGGACTGGCGATGCCACCATGTGCACCGTGAGGTCAGGCCACGAGGAGGGCAGCTCCATGGACCAGGCACCCTGGCCCCCTACCTACTGCCGACCACAAGGAGACCGCAGCCAGGGACAGGCCTGCAGCCTCCGGAACGTGTGCGGCCCTCCCCTTTGCTGGACCCCAGCCTGCAGCCTTCCCGGGACCCAGTGGACAGAGCCGATGCTCAGAGACCCAGCTACCTCACAAGCCGCACGCAGGTGGGCCACGGGCCCTGCCATCTGATTGTGAGCCTGGGCGGAGTCAGAGGGCCTGCCCCTCCAGGCCACCCCAGCCACGCTCACTCGCAGAACGCCCTGAGCCCGCCTGTCCAGTCTGTCCCGGCGAGACTCCGGCGTCTCTGTTGCTACACCGAGAGCAGATGTACTTTGTAACCCAAGCCTTGGAAGCGCAGGGATGCTGGCTGAATGGGCTCAATGACACAGGGACTACGCTGGCCCGACAGGCCCCAGCCAGGCCAGCTGAGCGCAGCCACACGTAGCCGGGGTCTAAGACGCACTGCTGGCTGTCCGCTGCTTGAGGGCCTCAGCGTCTGCAAACGTCTCCCCTTAATTCCCGCTGGGGGCTCCAACCCCCATCCTGACCGTGTCACTGCCCACTGGGGACACCTGGTCACAAAGGACATGGCGTGTGGCTCCCCGCCAGCCAAGCAGCAGCTCATGGGCTTTTCTCTCCTCAGTGGCCCCCTCCAAAGGGCGCTGGGGCCACGCTGCCGGGGGAGAGGGTCCCAGAGAGCAGAGCCGGCAGGAAGCCCTGCGCCAAGCCTGGTCCCCTTCTCACTCCCTCATGGCTGCCTGCGCTGAGGCCCCCCGACTGCCAGCCAGGCCCCCTGGCTGCCCGGGCTGAGTGCCCCTCCCCTCCCTCATCTTCCCAGGGCAGGTGGTCAGGACCTGCTCGGCCCCAGCCCCGTGCCCACCACGCCTGCTCTGCATGCAGCCTCCGCCAGGCCCGAGCCCTCAGGACACGCTGGGCTCCTCCTTGTCACGTCTCTCAGAAAACAACGCGGAACGTTTGCACGCTGCAGATGGCGGACCCTCCTGATTTACCTCCTTGGAGAACGTGCTGGATGAGTCGTGAAACAGCAGGTATCACCCCACACCCCGTAAACCAAGACGCGGCCCCCAGAGGCTGCCTAAGGGACCCCGAGTGACTGTCCTCGGGCCCCAGGCCTCCTCCCTCGAGGCCAGCCCCTCTCTCCACCTGGTCATCACAGGAGGCTCAAGGGGACAGTGATGGATGCGGGGTGCCAGGACTGGGGGTCAGGGCTTTCCGGGGCCCAGGCCTCACTCCTGCTGACCCCACCCCAGCTGGGATGGGCAGTGTCGGCTGAAGTGGGGCTCCCACCCGTGGCCCTGACTAGGCAGAGGCAGCAGACAGCACCACGGGACCCCAAAGACCTGCCACCCGCGCCTGACCACCCCACCACCTCTTCATGCTCCCTGCTCCCCAAAATCACCCCCAAACTTATCCCAAGTAGCAGGTGAGCCCCGGCAAGGCTGCAGCGGTCACCTCCGCTGGCCGCAGCCTGCTGCCCTCCCACAGAGGGTCCCAGCCAGCCGTCTCCCTAAATCCTAGAGAAACCAGGCCAGACGCACCGGAAAGCAAGGAGGGTGCCCCAGCCAGCCTTCCCGGTCACTCGAGGCCCCCAGCAGTCAGCAGCGTCCCCAACCCCCTGGGCTGGGGCTCACGCCCCATGAGTGAGGCACAGGACCTGCGTCCTTACAGCTCGGGGAGTGAACCAGACGCCACGGGCACTCCAGGTGTCCCCCGGCTCTGCCAGGTCCCCGGCCAATCTCTCCGTGAGAACGACCTCACAAGGAAGCTCTGCTCTGCTGGTGCTGAGCAGTGGAAAGAGGACGGCTGTGTCCTGCCCCGCAGAGGAGCGGCCAGCACGCATGGGGCTCTGAGGCCAGCCTGGACAGACAGAGAGCCCCAGGCAGGTTTCAGGCCCAACGTGCAGACTGCAGGCAACCTCTGGTGGGCACTGCAGACAGACGGGGGTGAGTCTGGCTCCTCCTCTGTGGCCCCAGCCTCGGTGCCCCGTGGGCAGCACGGCAGCACCTAAGGGGCCGGAAGGGAGCCAAGCCCAGCAGCAGCATGTGGTGCAGGAACCCGACCGTCCACTGGCTCGAAGTAACAGCAAGGCCACAACCGCAAGAGGCTCCAGGCCAGTGCCGCCGACGCTCACGGGTGAAAACGCTCAGCTTTACCCTGTTTCCAGAAATAAGCCAAAGGCCCCACAAGGGCTCTCACTGCTCAGAGTAGCAAGAGGAGAGCCTCCAGACATGGGGTGGCGGGGTGAGCTGAGAGGTGATGAGGGGAGGCCAGGGGGCCGGCAGCACGGGCCCAGGGAGGGGAGCGGGTCAGCAGTCAGCCCAGGGACCTGAAGGCCCCCTGGCCACCTGTACCTGCAGCACCTTCTACAGCCACTGCTGGCCACACACCCCGACCCT